AAGCGGTCGGTCGGGCCGGGCGGGCTGCAGCAGACGTGGATGGACGCCTTCGACACGCAGCTCGACGAGCACACCGGCGCAGTCGCCCGCGCCATCGCCGACCGGTACCCGCGCCACCGCTACGTGGTCGGCTGGGACGCCACGCTGACGATGGCGGCGGTGTGGTTCTTCCCGGGCTGGCTGGTCCACCTGTTCATCAACGGGCTCTACGACTGGTTCGGGTAGGGCGTGCGCCCGCGCGACGGTCGGGCAGATCCTTTACTTGTGGTGCGTGTGTGTGTGTGTGCAGTGCTGTGTCTTCCCACATTCAGACAGTCAGAGGAGCGGGAGAGGGCGAATGCCCCCCGTCACGCCGCTCACTTCTCTTTCTAGTGGCAGCGCTCTTGTCGGGCGGGCTGGTATGTTGGCGATGAAAAATAGAGAAACCCTGTTCGAGGGCCCACATGTGCCCCATGTTGGCGGTGAAAAATAGAGAAACCAGTTCCAGGGGCTAGTTCCATTTCACTCTGACACGCTAATCTTGAAAACGTCCAACGGAGCTCCGTGTTGCTCCCAGCGCCCTCCCCCGCGCTTCCTGCGGCCATGGCCGATGATACTAGTATGAGAGGTCATCTGGCTACCGCGAGCGCGACTCAACTCGCCGACGTCGTCCGATGATTGTGCCTCAAAGTCAGCCTCCGGAGGCTATCGTAGGGTCGAGCCGGCAGTAGCCGTGACATGTGGTTCCACCACCCCTCGTATGCTTTGCCTCTGACCGCCACCGTTCCCAGGCTGCCAAATGGGATGGAAAGGAAGGCTCGGCGAGCGTATAGAAGCGTGCTCGACCTCGTCGTGGCAACCTGCACGGCAGCGCTGGTAGGCGCGATGAGCGTCGTGCCACCTGACCCGAGACGGGTCGCAGGCGTCGTACCGAGCGCGTCGAGACCGTGTCCTGATGTGATCTGCACGGGTGAGTCACGTCGGCGTCAAAGGAGCGACGTGCGACCTGTCAGAGCTTGATCTCCGATCTCAGCGGCGTCGAGTCGTCTCCGGCGCGCGACAAAGGTACATCCCCAGGACGCGCAGAAGGCAGCTGCAGATCGGAGATCAAGCTCTGACAGGTCGCACGTCGCTCCTTTGACGCCGACGTGACTCAGTCGTGCAGATCCCATCAGGACACGGTCTCGACGCGCTCGGTAGGTCGCTTGGCGGAATGCCTGGATTCCGTTGCCTTGGCTATCGTCGTCTTGAACCTCGCCCACCGCAAAGTGTTTGGATTGTTTGCCCTTCTTCTGCCAATACTCAAGCTTGGAAGCCCCCCTTTGTCCCTCTCCAGTAGGGGCATCAAAAGTCTATTGAA